GCAAACATAAGAGAGCATAAGCCTCCATAGCAAAACTTCAAATGTTTTGTAAATCAAAGGTGCCGAAAGCACTCCATCAGGGATGGACTGAAGCAATGGCAAAACCTCCAGTGAGAAAGCTGGACCAAGAAAATTATGCCATGAAACTCAGAAGCACCTAAAGATGGCTTGATTCTTAGGTCAGAGCAATTCCACTATGTTCCACATGGGTTCCTATACTGTGTTCACCACTGAAGGAACATTGTCAAGTAATACACTGAGCAACATGACTAATATCTGTCACATATATGTTCTTTCATCCTTCCCCAGGGGAAAGAAGTAACTATTTTCCTCTATATCACTGCTCTGATGTTAGAGAACAGAAGATCAAAGAAATGGCATGAATAATGAGCAGAGGATAGTGAAATTTTCCACTGTGGCTGGGGACTCTTCACTGTCTGGGACTGTTTCTTTTGAGGAAAGTGTTCCACTGAGCCAGCAGAGCATCGCTGTCAAGCACGGCCTGCAGCCCAACACTGACAATGACGTTACAGATGCAGCGGAGCCAGGCTACTCACTAGCTGAGCAAACAGACAATATTTCTTTATGCAAAATTCTACACAGAGGCCATTACGCACAGTCTAGAATAAGTTTAATGCTTCCATAATAATCTGTAGTTCTCTATATACTTGTAGCTTTCTTAGTGCTAAAGGCTGTCTGCCCAGACATATTTCATTGCTGAAGTCCTGCTGACAGAGGCGTGAATAACCAGCAAATGATTGGGACCATCAGCAGGCCAACAGAAAACATTCCTCTCACGTAAGAGAACAGAAGGTGGAACGAAGAGACAAGAGACATGACAGAAACTGGAGGCTAACTAGAAAGAGAGAACTGAAGGGTGGACTTTGGTCCTCTGAAAAGACTGCTCAAACATACAGGCTTTTGAACCGCAGAGGCTGAAGCAGAAGTTCTGTGTATAGATCTTAGTATTTTTCTATAGATCTTTACATTTCGATTTCATATAGATCTTTATGTCTAGAGAACAAGTCTTATGAGGAGCGGCTGGGGGAACTGGGGTTGTTTAGCCTGGAGAAAAGGAGGCTGAGGGGAGACCTTGTCAGTCTCTTCTCTCAAGTACAAGTGATGGGACCAGAGAAAACTACCTCAAGTTGCGCCAGGGGAGGTTTAGATTGGATATTAGGAAAAATTTCTTCACCAAAAGGGTTGTCAAGTACTGGAACAGACTGCCCAGGGAAGCAGTTGAGTCACCATCCCTGGAGGTATTTAAAAGACGTGTAGATGTGGTGCTTAAGGACATTGTTTAGTGGTGGACTTGGCAGTGTTAGGTTAACGGTTGGACTGATGATTTTAAAGGTCTCTTCCAACCTAAACAATTCTTTGATTCTATGTTTGTTACAAACCTATTTTTGTGAGCCGCCTATACACAGGAGACAACCCATAAAGGACTGCCTCCTTGTTTTTCCTGCTTTTGGGCATGGTTTTGGACATTAATCTGAAGCATGTATTACCCTGTTTCCTTTTTCTTTGTACAATATATAGCACAATAAGATTCCTTGGTGTTACAGTAATGCTATTAAAAAATACACTATCTGAATAATTCTAGTGTAAAGCCACAGAATAGAAGGACTCCATCAGCACATGATATCTAGTCATCTTCAGTAGAGAGGAAAAATGAGTAAAAACTCATGTAAAATCTCAATTATAGCAATAACCCATGATCTGTTCTGAAATAATTTAATCAGGACTCAAAACGTTATCATACCAGGAAAATTAAACCAAATCAGTGTAGCCTCCTGTTCAACAACTACTTCTTACAGCTAAAAGCTGCTTGCTCCTCAGGCAGAAACACCCTTGTACATCCTCCAATAGCATGAGCAATATCAGATCTGAGACTTATAACCCTCTACCAAAAAACAATTTGGTGAAAATAAGCTATCTAACGCCACTACAATTTGAAGAGAAGAGAAACGCTCAAGCAGCAAAGAATTTCTACTTGTGATCAGAAACAAACAAGAGTATTATTACAAATCCATGTAGACCCCTGAACGATGCTAACAGTGTGCACTGAAAGCTATGATTTCCCCGGGGAAAGCAACATGATTTTTCCCGCTCTCCTCCAAAACAACAGAAACATGCTGCTACACTAACAGAAACATTTGTCCTACTGTCCACGCATTTACCATATGTTATGCAGCAGAATTCATATTAAACTGTTGTCTTTCTGCTGCAATGTAGTTTTCTCTGTCCTTCACCTAGCTAACTGGGACAGCGAGGATGTTTCTAACAGAGAAGCATACCTTTCACTTCTCCAGAGTGTCAGCTGGCTTCCTGAAGCAGGGGCTTGTATTTTATCCAAAACCAGTAGCAGAATTGTTTCTACCATCCAATGTCAACAAATCAAGTGAAGCCATTTATCGAAGCTGATGCCCTCCTGACAAGCCAGGGAGCTGTGCTCCTGATCAGCTGGTTCTAAAAATATGTTCTGATGGACAGGTCAGCGGTGTGTACGCTCAGTAGCACCACGCTGCCTGCCACCACTGAAGTGCCATCAACGTTTGCCCCCATCAAAAGTAACACAGAATGCTCAAAGCTATCCCTAATGTTATCTACTATGAAAAAAAGAGCAGAGCAATAATTTCACAAGCTGTTTATTATGTTGATAAAAAATACATTATAATAATAATGAGCAATCAAGACTTTCTTGCTGCTAAATATTCCTTTCAAACACCTACTATCTTGACTGCACTTCTATTGTTAGCAAAGTTTTAGTAAGAGATATGTAATGGTGAGCCCCAAACGTATTTCTAGGACCCTCATTAAGATGATATTCTTTTCTTTGTTTGAACATTTACATTTGTGTATGTGTACACATACACACGCAGCTACACACATGGAGACTGTGTACCTATACGTGCAGGCAATTTGTAGGCGATATCATTGTAAGGAAAATCCATCCTTCTGCCCCATTACCTAAGCCAAGTGTATTAAGTTGAAATCAGAAGAGTACAAGGATGTTAAAGGAGCAAGGGACAAATTAAATACAGGGACTTAGGGGAAAGGAGAAGGACAGTAGGCTAGAGAAACTGATAGGAACAGAGGTGCAGACTCTGGCTTGGATTCTGTGGGAGAACTGGTATCGGAGCAAACCCTGGGAAGCAGACTTCATTACTGCTTCTCTACCCTGCTTGCTGAAGTTCTCTCTCTGGGTTTGATCAGCAAGAGTTGTGCATAATTTACATTAAATAAAAAATCATGGACAGAGTACTACAGGCTTTTCTGTCCAGTCCTCTTGAGAATTTTAGTTATAATCATATACTTAATTTCCCAAAATAACTAGGATCCGATAAGCGCACACGAGCTAGTCAGTAAGATCTGATATATATTACAATCCATTGGCTGTTTCATCATCAATTTTTTAAAGCTTAAAGCACATCAATACTGTACCCTCTTTTGTCAATTTTTGGTGTCGCACAAGGCCCAGCACAAGAGTTCTAGTCTCTAAGTGAGACTCCGGGGCACTTCTAACATATTAATACGAACTGTTTTCATACCCAACTTAACAACAAATTTAATTTTTAATGTCGCTAAATACACACTTAATCAGAATTTTCTCTGCTACAGCACCCACTTACAGGGGATCGATTAAAATCTTTTCAGTATTATCTTATCAAATTGCATTTATATCTTATCTACTTGGAGTAATTATTTTCTTCTCACACAAAGACTATCAGATCAGTCAGCTAGCAGCAATCTCACATATGCAGGATGCAACTCCAGAGCTGAAGCATCTTTACAAATACAATAGTGCAGAACAAAACTTCTATTTTATGACTTATTTGTAACTGCTGCTCTGCTTGATATTGAATAAGACAAATAAAATATATATGCATGTAGAGAGATATGTTTATAGAAGCAAAAAATATTAGGGGCACTTTTCATCTCTAAAAAACAACATGCAAGTCTACAGGTATTCTTGTTAAGTTTACTCTTACCACGTTATACCTCCCAAAAAATGGCTTCATAGGACTCTTAGAAGAACTAATCACAAGCAAATAGAATGAAAGCATTATCATACGCAATCTTAATCTACTTTTGTCCAAAACATATAGTGCACAGAGACATTAGGACTAAATTCTAAAGGGAACATTTCATTCCTAGGCTTTTGACTGTTAATGTCACTGAGGGAAACCTGTTGGCAGCAATCAGGACAACTCACTTTAGAGGATACTTCAATTTTATCTCATTTTCAGAACTATTTTTAGGTGCATAAGGAACTTGGAAAAATTCACTGACTGCATTTTAATCATCCAAATCATGGAACTGGAAGCTGCTTCAATCACATATATGTTTATAAGCATCCATCACCTAACACAAAACTTTAGTTTCTGTACTATACATGACTGCTCCAGATAATAGCAGATGAAAAAAATCTATTTTATTGAGTAAATTCTGTCTAATGGTATAAAATCTGATCAGGATTTAGGCATACTTCTCTCCAGCAAACAAAATCTGGGAGAACTACACAGCTATGACATTTGGCTAGAGTGAGAAAAGGACAGAACTCTTTGCATTACTAAATAGTCTTTTCATAAGGTACTGACCCACCTCTGGGATGTGAGGGTATGTGGTACAGGTGAAGCAACAGAGGTCAGAAAGTGGAGGTGGTGGGGAAGAGTGGGTTTGATGCTGGCGTGGACCAAACCTGAGTATTTTGCAGTAAGTTTACAAGTCTACAACCAGTTACTCTCAAATCCCTTGTAAATGCAACAGAGGCAGACTTGAATCAATTGACATGTGGAATGCAGATACTGTGCACTGTGCCATGAAAGTTAGCTTCAGAAATTTGCCTCGATTCACCTGTTAAGCTCAGGATATTTACACATAATACTAACCTCCACAAACACAAGTGTCCGATGTGCTGCCAGTGTAATTTGCCTATTTTCTGTTTACGTTATATTCTTCTACCAACATAACTCTTGGTAATAGTTATACATACTTACCACTGTGCCTAGAAACTGAATGCTTGTATCTCCAGAGGCATTCCGAGAAAGCCGCTGAAAAAAAGAGACGTAAAAACTGATTAGAAGTGTCTCTGGAATTTGAAACCTTTCCTTTTTCTGTGTCACATCACTGTAAAGTAATGAAAACTAATTGAGTACACAAATTATACATAAAACAGATAAAATAAAACCCTTTACTTCAACAGCTTCAGTACTAGAAGTCCAATTCATACTTCTGCTCGGATTTTGGGTTTGTTTCAGTCAACTCAATAACATTTAATTTTGAAGAACAATGAAAACAAATATGGCCAAGTACAACACAGAACAACCTTGGACTTGCAGAAAGACAAATTGTCATGAATAATGAGGCTTCTGCCATCTCTAAATGTCTGTGATTCTGTATTGCTGTTACTCACATTTAGTATTATCTTCATTCTCTCCTAATGAGAGACATTTTAATCTCTGTTTAAAATGCAAACCTCCAATGATGTTACTTTGAAAACAGAAGAAAAAAAAAAATGACCTTATGAAATGTCTGGTCACCTACTGTGGTTCAGGAGTTGATTGAAGTTATTAAGCAGTCTTCAAATATTACATTGTCAGTAAGCCACAAGACAATGCAAAAGACAATATGTTATTGATTTAACACAGTATTATCCATAATCTAAATATGCAAAATGTATAAAGAATTCCTTCTTCTTGTGAACTGTCTCCTTCAACGTGAAAAGTTTTTTTCTCCCTTTTTCTTCCTGCTGTTAAATTATAGCACATATAGACCCAAAATCAGGGCCCTAGTCATGGAACAAAGGCCTAATACTTACACAATGCCAGACGTACATACGAGTATAGAAGCACAGATTTGAGAAGGTGAGTATAAATTGCAAACAAAGAGCTGCATGGAGATCTTCAGCATTTTAAAGACAAGGAAGCCTAGGAATAGGGCTGCAAATTATTTTGAGAGATCTTCTAGTCTAGTACCCCCGGCAGAGTCAAAACACACCTGTGTCACTCTCAAACAATGTGTCTAACCCATTCTTAAAGTCTTTCAATTGCAGAGATGTCACAGTCTCCCCTAAGCAATTTATCCCAGTGTTCAGCATTCTTATCATTAGGAAGTTTCTTCCTAATATCTGACTAAAATAACCCTTACTACAACCACAGCACATTAATTATCCTCTTTTTCATCACAAACAAGAAACACACATTACTCCCTTTCTTTTTACAGCTACCTACGGGTATGTGAAGAGCCATTATCACAGCTCCCTTTAGTCTTGTCTTCTCTAGACTGAGAAAGTGCTATACAACAATAGCTAGATATCCCCCAAAACAATTCTAATAGCAATAAATTAAATCCTGGTCCCTTTTCAATAATGGCGCATGTTCCTCAGCTACGCTTTATGAAGTAATAATTACTACGGCCCGAACATGCTTATTTTTTGACTTAACAGGTCACACACTGACACTGCAATCTGTACAATCATATGAAAACAAAGGATGATGTGCCAAAGCCTGACATATTTCAACAATAATGATTAATGGAATGGAAAATATGGGAAATAAAATTTCATACAAAACCTGACGTTTACTTTTATAAAGGAAACAGGAATATACACTTTTCCCACAGTCTAGGATAAACACAATCAGGTTTTGGAAACCACAAAGAAGAACAAAGTACCGGCTGCCTACAATGAATGAACCGCATGCCAAAACAAACAAGTCCCAACCACTTGATAAGCTGTCAGAAAATGGCAAGCCGAAAAAAATTAAAGGATTTAATTTCTTTTTTTCCTGGAATGCCCTCCACCCTCGTTAGAGTTCTGTCACTTATTGTGCTACCCTTTTGTGCGCTTTCAAGGGTCATTAGAGACCTTTTCATGTCCTAATAAAAATTCCATTTTTTTGGCTAATCTCCCCATCACACAGAAAAACACAACCTAAAAAACAAAACAAAACAAAAAAAGAAAAATAGAGCCCTTTTGTCATTTTCTTTAAAGGCTTTCAAAGTAAAGCCAGGTATCTTGACAACTTGACTTATTTTTCACAACTGAAAACCAAATCATTAAAGTATTTCCTCACACAGAGTCTCTTTACTCACAGCTAAATAAGCTAGCATAGCAATAACTAAGCCCTTTCAAAAATAATTTAATAACTAATTTAATAAAGCCAAATATATACGTGTATCAAGAAGGCACCTTCTAAAGCCACAGTCTCAAGACAAGACAAAGATATAAGCAGCCGCCTTCCTGCCCTGACGCTGTCGAAGTGCCCTGGTACCACACTATAGTAAATCCTCACTGCTACTGTTTGCTGTGCCCAAAATACAAAGCATTACATTCAGTTGTCTGTGGCATTAAGAGTCAGCTAAAGCACTAAAATCCATCTCTTGAATTAACCGGCAGTGAGGGAAAAAAAAAAATAAATAACGGGGAAGGTGAGGAAAATAGTTAACAAACAGAGAAGGAAAAGAAATTTCCCTTCTGGGTATATTTCAAAAAACAAAAACAAGAAAGAAAGGTAGAGAAATTCTCCAAGTCACAAAACATATGTTACATCAAGACCAAAAAGAGAACTGCCAGGCTTTTGAGAACCATGTTACAAAAGAAGTCAGCACATTATCATAATTAATGTTTCAAATTACAGTTGTAAATAAATTTCAGCTGTTAGATGTGATTAGATTTTTTGAAGCATATTGAAAGGAGTTATTTCTGTTCCGCTGGTGGGCTTGTGTTTCTGGGATTTGTAAATGTAATTGATGTTTTCAAGAAAATGAAAGGACATGGTTAACAATTATTCTTTTATTTTACACCTCTTTAGAAAAAGGACCAGTCTCCAGTTTCTCTTGTAAAGTTAGATATTTACATATTCTATACCTCATAATAGATGGTTTCATATTGCATGTGATAGCAGGAAAGTAATCAAATAGAGGTAACAAAAAAGAATAGCTAATTATATGCATTGTCATTGTTTTCCTAATAAATTGCAAATTATGTACTAGGAGGTTTACACCAAAAAGCAAGGGAAGTCTACCATTTGAACAAAGACAAAACATCACTGTATGTTTACTTGCCAATACAGTAAAATTACATTGTTGGCATCAATTACATGATCTTAGACATAACCAATGCTCTTCTGGTTGATTCAACTGATAGAGATTCAGACTAACTTTATTAGCATCATTTGAGTTAAAAGTATAGTTTTTCTTCCTTATGAGAAAGTAACAAGATAAATCAAATCTGAAAAAAAAATAAATCACAACTTCAAAAAATCCATCTGCAGTCTCAAAGCTGTCAAATGAGTGTGTTACATAAATATTATATGTATTTTTACACACAGGTTACAGCATGCTATACTGCATATGCTATGTATATACAAACAAAACGCTTATGCACGTAGGTAAAAATAGACAAGCGTATATAATCATACAAAATGCGTTTGATCTTCCTCCTCTATCTTAAGTGTATGCTATACCACAGCCATTTCACAAATAATCGTTTTAATCTGTAAATCCCAGTAAATTACCAGAGGTTAGTGTGATATGACTTTAAATTCTTCTGCTTTGCCATAGAAAATTATTTCCACTTAGTTGGGTACCAATGATCTATTCATCATAAGATGCAGTAGGGTTACAATCAGCTTTGCATTAAGCCTGCAGTAGATGAGCACTTGCAGATAAAAATGGTAACAACCTTTACATGAAGAAGGATAAAGAAGCTCAGCCAAACATAAAATATATATTGTTGAAAGAGATTCTAAACTGACACAGACATTATTAGACAACAAGATCTCAGAGTATTTTCCACAAATCTTCTGGTATCTTGGGCTCTCCAAGCTGGAGGGGAGCAGCTGCAGGGAAGGAATGATACCAAAACAAAGAAACTCCAACAGACCCAAAGCAATTTTTTTGCGTTGCTTACAAATGGAAAAGTAATGTGTCAAGTCAAAATGAATATGAACTGGCAAAGGAAATCATACATGTAAGTTTCTCAAACACATTTACCTTGAACTACTATCTACCACCTTTATTTGTTGAAAGTAAAGCTGGAGACCATTTGTTACAGAAAATGTACAGATTGTCACTTGACCAACATTTTTTCAACTTTTTCAAGCTGTAGCATGACTACATTAACAGTCAGACAACATGTATCAGCCTATACAAAACAAAAAAAAAAACCAACCAAGCCCAGAAAACCTATAGATAGACTATAGATAAAATTTTGAGTGAAACACTGTGTAGTTTCCCAGCATGATGCTGTTTTTCAGAATGCAGAAGTTCTTGCAGCCCCTATTGCTTCATTTCAACTGCCCACTACCAGAAATTCTGAACATCTTATGCCATGAATTTCAAATGGAGAATGCTATCCACCTTTTGGCCAATATTTATAAATTCTTGAAAATTCAACCTGGCAAAATACAGGCCAGAATCATTCCCAGACAGGTCTAATTAAAAAACAAATTATTCCCACAATAGGGAAGTCAGGGGAAAAAAACACAGTATTTTACCTCATAAAGTTATAGCAGATTTATCTGCTAGTACCTCATCTATGAGGTTTTGTGCACGTGAGGGTGCTTGGACATCTGGAAAGCTCCATCATCCAGCTATGTCACTCCATCTTTGGAGTCCCATAGTTGGGTCAGAGAGGAGGAGAAAGCTGCAGAAATAACTGTGACACCATGAAGTCGTCATTTTGTCAAAACGTGAGGATTGGTTTGGCTTTATCAATCTCCTTTTCCCTCTCCTCCTGGAATCTTTGCAGAAAGGAGAATTTAATTTCAGCACTCCCCTTCCACTGTGCAAAATCCCCAACTAGGGATGTGATCCCAGACTACCAGCATGACCAAGCTTTCTTATATGTTGGAGACTGTCTACGTTGCGCTATATGTTCAGATTTGTGCAGCCTCACAAGCATTTCCACTTAGAGGATCAGTCTACTTTTGTCACAACTTAGTGTTCTCCACTGGTGGTGCCATCATTTCCTCCCCTTAGCGCATTAAAGTACAAATGGAAACTTAGCCCAGTTTTGTGCGCTGCTCTACCCTTAGCCATTATCCATTTC